AACCCCCTCCCACCCCAGGCCTCCCCCTGCTAGCCCTCTCCTGCCCTGATTTACCTTAGATTGGGTGGCCATTTTAAAATCAATCTAACCTTCCCCTAGCTTCCCCGAATGTACATACAATCAGTGTAGCTATCTCAATACAGAGGGTAAAATGCACAGAGACATACTTATATACTTTAAAAAAAAAAACCTGAATATACAGCTTAGGGTGGTTAAATGTGCAAGGAAGGTAAAGGTATGGCTTGTACTAACCGATGGACTAAACCATCCGAGGGTACTGAAGGCACTGGCTGATGTCATTGCACAGCCACTGGAAAGAATATTTGAGCACTCGTGGAGCACGGGCCAGGTCGCAGAGGACTGGAAAAGGGCAATGTGGTCCCTAGTTTCAAGAATGGGAGGAAGGAGGATCCAGGCAACTATAGGCCAGTGAGTCTCACCTCCATCCTTGGCAAAGTCTTTGAAAAGATTATCAAGGCTCATATATGTGAGAGCCCAGCAGGAAAAATTATGCTGAGGGGAAACCAGCATGGGTTCGTAGCAGGTAGATCATGCCTGACTAGTCTAGTCTGTTTTTATGACCAGGTTACAAAACATCTGGATGCAGGAGTAGGGCTAGATATCGTTTACTTAGATTTCAAGAAGGCCTTCAATACAATATCCCACCCTATACTGGTTAACAAATTAATAGGCTGTGACTTGGATGATTACACAGTCCTGTGGGTGGAAAATTGGCTAGAGGGTCGTACCCAGAGAGTGGTGGTGGATGGGTTGGTATCGACCTGGAAGGACGTGGGCAGTGGGGTCCCACAGGGCTCGGTCCTTGGACCAATACTCTTCAATGTCTTCATCAGTGACTTGGATGAGGGAGTGAAGTGTACTCTGTCCAAGTTTGCGGATGATACAAAACTGTGGGGAGAAGTTGACACACTGGAGGGCAGGGAACAACTACAGGCAAACCTGGACAGGTTGGACAAATGGGCAGAAAACAATAGAATGCAATTTAATAAGAAGAAATGCAAAGTGCTGCACCTAGGGAGGAAAAATGTCCAGCACACCTACAGCCTAGGAAATGACCCGCTCGGTAGCACGGAAGTGGAAAGGGATCTCGGAGTCCTAGTGGACTCCAAGATGAACATGAGTCGGCAGTGTGACGAAGTCATCAGCAAAGCTAACTGCACTTTATCATGCATCAACAGATGCATGACAAACAGAACCAAGGAGGTGATACTTCCCCTCTATTGGGCACTGGTCAGACCGCAGTTGGAGTACTGCGTCCAGTTTTGGGCGCCGCACTTCAAGAGGGATGTGGATAACCTGGAGAGGGTCCAGAGAAGGGTCACTCATATGGTTAAGGGCTTGCAGTGCAAGCCCTACAAGGAGAGACTAGGGCACCTGGACCTCTTCAGCCTCTGCAAAAGACTGTTGAGAGGCGACCTTGTGGCTGCCTATAAATTCATCATGGGGGCGCAGAAGGGAATTGGTGATGATCTACTCACCATGGCACCCCTGGGGGTCACAAGAAATAATGGCCACAAGCTAGCAGAGACCAGATTTAGACTGGACGTTAGGAAGAACTTCTTCACAGTTAGAGTGGCCAAAATCTGGGATGGGCTCCCAAGGGAGGTAGTGCTCTCCCCTACACTGGGGTCTTCAGGAGGAGGTTAGATAGGCATCTGGCTGGGGTCATCTGAACCCAGCCCTCTTTCCTGCCTATGAAGGGGGCCAGACTCAATGATCTATTGAGGTCCCTTCTGACCCTAACATCTATGAATCTATGGATACTCTCATGGGTCCTATTGCTGAAACCAGGAAAACTAGTCTAAGTATAGCTGTTATTTCGAAGATAAAACTAGACAAACTAAAAGCTTTCCAGGATCTTTCTATATTCTGTAAAGAAGCAGAAAATGTAAACAAGTAAAAAAAAAATCCGAAAACAAACAACTCTTCCCTCCTGCCCCCTCCCGAAACATGATTTTTCCCATACACAATTTATTTCAGGTCAAATCCTTTTAAAAAAAATCATACAAAAATCTTTGCACTTTCAAAATCTTTGAGAAGAAAATGGAACCTGAAGGAAAAGGAAGTTCTTCTTTCAAGCAAGAACTGTACTTCAACACCCTTGTAGGGAAATACAAATAAAAGAAGAAAAGAAACATAAGGGAAAAATCACTCTGTTCTTACAAAATACCACAAAAATAGAATTGTTACTTAAACATTCTTACACAATTCAGGTTTCCCAAGGTAGGTTTATTTTTTGTGTTGTGTTTTATAGATAAGTACTGTTTATATATCCCCCACTAATTATGCCATGAAAACAAGCATTTTCTTTAAGAGGGACAAACCTACACATATCAAGAACTGCTTTAAAAAGACTAATGGCAAAATTATTTTCTAGCTAGT